TATTTTCATTGTCTCTTAGCCGTGTGTGTGTCTGCTTATCACCCACGATTCGTCTCGCCTTTCTTTCTGCCTTCTTTTCTTTCTTTTCCTTTCTCTGCCTCGTAAATGGTGCCACAACACATTTTTCACTAATGTCTCAAGAAAATTTCTTTTCAGAGTTCACGAATTCGCCCAATACAGCTTATGAGCATGACATTATTTCATTGTCACAAGAAAAAAATAGAAATTTATTTTTATACTGATTCTCTAAAATGTTGGTATATTGATGCTCGTGATGCAATTTAGTTTTTTATGAGACTTTAAAAAAGGCCGCTTATTTACAAAGTACCGTTCGAAAATACGTAAATATTTCATGACAAAACAAATTTACTGAAACAGACCGAAAAAATTATATTATTTTCAGATTTTTTTGTTCTTTATTTTTCGCTTGTAAGTTTCTGAAATAATGTTAATCATATAACGATCTTAGTAGCCATTTTATCTGGCTGTTAGCTTCTAAGAATCCACTCATACTGTCCCGTACCAGATTAGTTAAAGATAAATAAATATCGATGACTCGATATTTTCTTTCCAAAAAGGTTACTTCTTTACTCTGGTTTTGTGTTAATCTCTAAGCATTTTGAACGTCTGTATTAGGTTTGAACCTCGCAATCAGAAAGACAATGACGCCCAAATTGAAATAATAAAATGACTTCCATTGCTAACCCTGTGTTTTATCTCATATCAGATGATGTTGTAAAAGAGATCTGAGTTTTAAGCAAGGTAAACATGAGAATTTTGTTAGAAACAAAGAAAAGCATGAAGCTGCTATGGAATATCGGTCGTCTTATATGTCAGTGAATGCTGGATAATCACCTCACATATAAAGAAAACACCTGAGGCAACAAAAATATGGTTCCATAGAAAGATGCTGAGAATACGATGAACTGAACATGTGAGCAACGAAAAAGCTTTTTTTAAGAATGATGGAAACAAAAAGGATACTTGTCCTTGGGATCAGAACGAAATAGTTGAATATTCTAGAGTACATAATGAGCGCTTGGAAAATTTAACAACATGTTGATGCTAAAACGGACAGAGGAAAGCAGCGAATAATCTACCTAACAAGCATGTGTAAATGGTTGGCAGTAGAGGGATTAGGAGAGATTGTAAGAAGACAAATATTACCAACGGCTACAAAGGACACGACTGTTGAAGAGCATTATGATCGCCTACTTTCTGAAGGTATATGGCGCATAGATTGCGTCATATACAAGATTACATGAAATATACGAAAATGGCCACATGACGGAGTAATTTAGTCGATCCATCTTAGTTGAGATTACCCAAGGAAACAAAAAGCAGGTATAGAATCCGAAAGAGGTAGTTGAAATATCTAAATCCCTTAATTAGGAAAGAGGGTTTGGAGTATTTGACATTCACGGTATATATTGAAAGCAAGAGAGAAACTCAGGAAAACAGATAATGACCAATCAAACGAGCATGGGTAAATGGTTGGCAGGACAGAGACTAGGAGGGATAGAAAAAAAGATAAAATATAAGCAGAGCTACAAAAGACAGAAAGATGTGGTAAGCTATGATCGCCAATGTCCAGAAGTGACAAGACGTACAGAAAAAGAAGAAAAAGAAGAAGAAGACGAAGAAGAAGAAGACGAAGAAGAAGAACAACAAGAAAATGAAGACGTACAAAAAATGAACCGATACAAAAATATTTTTTCTTTAACGGCATATAGAATTTCAGTTTAAAGATAGAATATAAAAAAGAGCATGTTTTAATCTGCAAAATAAAAAAAAATCCATTAAGTAAAATGAATAACTAGAAAGTCTGCTCTTTCCTTTAAAAGAAAAGTAGAAATACATTTGAAATTTTCAGATTTTACATTAACATCAACACTAGGATGTGAAACTTTATTCTCAATATGGCTACCACGACTAAACAACATTATACAGGATGGGCCAAATGTAGGCTTACACTTAGCAGATATGCACTTTACTTTTTTTTAAAGTATTTTATTTCATTTATATTTATTTGTTACAATGAGATTTGTTAAAATTGTTTATGTACAGGGCGGTCCAAATGTCTTGTCACCCTCTACCAAAAAGTAATGAGAACAATACAAGAACGAGTAATATAAGACACATGTACTGGATTCATTTTATTCATTGACGCTGTCACACTTCGAGAAGGTGTGTAAGAATGCCATCATTTTCGTTTGAGCCATCTCAAAATGAACATTATATTATGTTGGGTTAACAAGACTTTTAGAACACCCTATATATTTGTTTAACTCTTTAATTACATTCTTTTTGCAGAGTTTAATCTCTTGAGTAAATTAAAATGTCTTCCTTCAACATTACAACATTCCAGGAACCTCTCCAGAACACTGACACGCAGAACGACACAAATCCCGATCTGAATGAATACTCAATAACATGTACTCATTTAATTCGCTCGCTGCGTGGGGATTTCTCTCATAAACCTTGTTCATTACTTCACCCACCAAAAGGAAATTCATTGAGGTTAGGTCAGGTGAAAGTGGTGGCTATTCGATGCTGCTCTTTCTTCGGAACCGACACTGTGGAAAGGTTTGTTTAAGGTAGTTACTTAATGCCAAAACCACAGTTATGATTTAGATAAATTATTTCTAAAACATGAAACAAATGATAAAACAGCTGTCCGCTTACTTTTGGCCCAACTTGTATATCTAATGTCTGCTGTTGATTTTTTTTTTCACTTGTCTCAAAATGTTTCCGCAACCACCAATAAAACAATCCGTGCTAAATTTGTAATGTTTGAGTCAATACTTATAACAAGATAAGGATAAACTGACAGCTTTAGCAGACATAAGTGGAATAAAGCATGGAAAGGTAGAAATAGAAAGAAAGCTAAATTTTCTTCGACGTTACGTGTCAGAACTTATGTAAGGCGAGATATGTTAATGATTTATAGAGAAATCATGGCGTCAAAGAAACGCAATTTCTCAGAAAGCAAACGCGTATTTTTAAAATAAGTTTCTGCTTTTCAAATTCCGTCAAATGTTGAATTCGTAAAGTAAACAAGCTCGTATTATTAATATACACTTTTAAAAGATGCCAAGAGTAAAGGAGAGTTTCAACTAGAAATAATTATGTAGCATTCAGAGTTGATTGTTTTTAATGCTCACTATTTACATTATTCGGAGTATTGTCCTCATCTTTGTCGCCATATTTATTACAGCGTTTCGGCCGTTGTACGCTCCGACCTTATTCAGGTGGTTGGAATGTCGAAATGAACCCTTTATTTCGCTCATTGGGGTAGACATTCCAACCACCCGACGAAGGCCGGAGCGTACAACGGCCGAAACGTTGTAATAAATATGGCGACAAAGATTAAGACAATAGTCCGAATAATGGAAATAGTGTACATAATACCTCATCTCAGAAATATAGACAGATACGTTTTTAATGCTGTTAAGCGTTTCCGAAATCTGCTATATTGTGGCGGATAACTGATGTTCAAGATTTGATATTAGGTGGGGTGACATTCTAGAATATGAGCTACGTACTGGGAAATGAAAATAAAGCGGAAAATTGTTAAATCTGGGAAATCCGAATAGCGAATGTCAATTTCGAGTGTCAATTTGCAAATGCCAATTTAGAATGTCAAATAAGAAGACGCATTTGTCTAGCAGATGTCAGTTTTGAGTGTCAACTAGCGAATGTCAATGTGCGAATGTTAAATACCAAGACGCATTGGTCTGGCGGATGTCAATTTCCGGATGTCAGATATGAAGAACCGTTAGTATAGCGAATGTCAATTTGCGAATGTCAATTTCCAATGTTAATTTGTTAATGTTAATTCCCAGCGTCAAATTGCGAATATGAAATGTGGAGACACATTGTTATGCCGAATGTCAATTCCGAATGTCAATTTGAGAATATCAGTTTCGAATGTCAATTCCGAATGTCAATTTGAGAATATCAGTTTCGAATGTCAATTTACTAATGTCAAATACGGAGACGCAAAGTTATAGCGAATGACTTGTCTCAAAAACAAAATGAAGCATTATGAAACAGATAATTTCGATAGAGACAAATAAAAGAGTGCTGCAGAGTCTTATAATATCAGTTTTTCTTTTCTATATAGCCAAGAATAAGGGAGAATTTCTATAGAGATTCAATATGAGACTTGAGACAACAGTGATTTGGTTCTATAAAAGGTTTCTGGGAAGACCATGGACGGGAAAATGTGACATGTGGATTTTCTCAAGGGAAATATAAACAAAAATGACACGTACGTAGAATCAGAAATAAACAGTTGAAATTTCTGGAACTCATGATGAAGAATGCGAGCTTGGGGAATTTAACACGCACAGGATATGACGAGTAACCTGCTTAACAAGGTTATGTGAATGGATGTTTGAACAGGAACGATGAAAGGATAAAACCTTTGCTTAGAGCTACAATAGGAATGAATCTATGAAAAGCTGTAATCACCCACTTCCAAAAACAGTACGGAAAAAATTAACTTTCTTGCGGGAACAAAGGTTATCTAGCAAAAATTTTAAGTGTTGCAAACCTTAACCTTTGTTAAGATATTCAAAAATGAAACGATATAATATGATGTAACCTCACCGTCTCATCAGTAACCGAAAACGTCGACTTACTCTTCTTTTCGAGTTTTTGCTTTGTTTCTCAGAGATTGTAGAGATTGATTTTTCACCCAATGCATTGTCTCCGTTCAGTTCAGCATCATTGTCCGGTATCGCATGATCTTCTTTGGCGAGACACACTCTGACCGTAGTCTAAAGGGCCAACGACCTCAGTGATGACTACGGTATTATTGATACAAAATTGGCAATACTCTGGAACTGCTTCAGGTCAATTGTTGGATGCTGTTCTCATACAAATGAATATAAAGGTTTTTAGTAAACTAGGAGAGTCACTGATTGATGAAAAAGCCATATTCGCTCGCAACACTATTAAAAACACTAATGATTAATGGCGTACGATGGGCATACTTATTTACGAGAAGGCAACATAGATAGATAATGAAGAGACTGATAGATAGATAGATAATGAACAGACTTAGATATATAATGAATACACTGAGATAGATAGATAATGAATAGACTGAGATAGATAGATAGATAGATAGATAGATAATGAATAGACTGAGATAGATAGATAGATAGATAGATAGATAGATAGATAGATAGATAGATAAATGAAGTATAAAAATAGAAAAGTGATATTCTTACATTGCCTCTCAGCAATGGCTGCTAAGAAACTTGGCATGGCGGCTACGATTTATTAGAGTGAAAATATTTATTCAGACACGACTTAATGCTGTCGATTCCTTAGTTGCATTTGGTGGGCGTAGCTGCAGAGTATTTAATGTTTTTAACAATATATCCTATACTTGTTCCTTAATATATTACGACTGACTGGATAAAGATATAGGAAATAATTTGGTAGTGTAAAACAAAGAAACAACAGAATTCCTACGAAATGGACATATGTGAATTACAAGCCATGTTCACTGCCCATCCACAGAGCAAAGCTTTTAATTCACGAATCATTTATTGAGACCCCAGTATCTTTTTGTATCTTGAAAATAACTGGACACTCTCTCTTGTCTCTAAGAAGTAACGAGATATATATTTTCAATATGTTAATTCTCTCGTTTTACCAGTGGGAAGAACAGAACAAACTACGCCTTGTTTTTATCACCCACAACCCTTTTATCAACACCATCTGACTCATAGCAATTACTTGCAGAAAACGAGGATCTGATATCTACGATAACGAAGATTTCGAAACAAATATTTTTGGTATATTCAAATCATACGCACTATACAGATTACCTCACAAATGATTTTAGCACTTCGTATACATATACTCCTGAGTAATTTAATTGTTTTAAAAAGACCACTTTTACAATCTTAATAAAGCCCAAATATATGAGACAGAATTTAAAGTTCTTTTTTCTCCTAGAATCAACATAAAAGTGACAGGATT